GTCCGAGGCCAAGGGACAACCTCCCCCCCCTCCCCTTCTTCTTTCCAAGCCTCAAGGCGCTTGGCGGCCCCCGCAGGCGATCAAGTCCTCCCAAGGTGCGCCCTGCTCCGCTGGAACGATCCATCTGCCCCCTGCTCGTCTTTCTTCCTCGCGACCGGCGCAGAACCTCTGACGGGGAGATTATGGAACCGCTGATTCGAATCCTCTCTCGCTGGCTCGGCGTGAAAATGGCATCAAAGGGTCGGAGGGCGCCTCCCCAGTGGAAGGCAGGCCTCTTTGCTGCTCTTTGTCACTGCTCTTGCCCTCCCAGAGGAACGGCAAGGAGAAACAAAGGGCACGCAACGGGCACCCCTCCCTGAGCACATGCTTTCGGGACTCTCTTCCGTGCTGTTGGAAGGTGATTTAGAGTCTCCGGTGCAGCGAGAGGGGTGCAGAACGCGTGCGCCGCGAAGGGCACGCCGCTGTGGAGGGTGAGACTTGATACAAAGAGAAACAAAGGGTAAACAACGGGCGCCCCTTCCTGGGAAAATGCACTTGGGGCTCTCTTACGCGCTGTGGGGAGACGATTGAGAGTCTCCGGCGCAGCGGAAGGGGCGCAAAACGCGACCGCCGCGCCTTTCCGCTGGGAGGTTGAGACTTGTTCCAAAGATAGAGAGAAACAAAGGGCAAAGTACGGGCGCCCCCTCCTGAGCAAATGCGCTCGGGGGTCTCTTACGAGCTGTGCGGGGTTGGTGCGGAGTCTCCGGCGCAGCGAGAGGGGCGCAGAACGCGATCGCCGCGAAGGGCATGCCGCAGGGATGTGAGGAGCCGTTTGAGGGGCGCGTATGCGGCCCTCGCCCTCGCGATCGACTCGGTGGGGATGGGGTCACGGGGTCGGGTGGCGGGCTGTCAGTTGCCCGGAAGGGCTGTTCGAGGAGAGGCGGAGCGGGAGGAGGCGGGATGCCGGATCGCGCCCGTTCCCCCTCGTCTGCCTGACGAGGTGCCAAGCAACCGCGTCGGCGACGATTCTCCGTGACCGGCCAGGCCCGCAGCGGGCCCGACCGTGGGCGGAGCCAACAAAAAGGACCGGCGGAATGGATCCCGGCTCCACGACGAGATCCTCCGTCGCAGTCAATTCGTTCCGGAGCCCCCGACCGGTGGCCACTCCGTCCCCGTTCGGCCCACCTTGAGCATGTTCGCCCTACTTCTATCCCCGTTGCCTTCATTTTCTTGCTGCCGCCCTTGTCTTCTCTTTCGACCGCCGCGCGCCACTCGACCGGGAGCCTCTCGCCGGTGGCAGCGCTGCCCCAGTCCAGCCCCACTTGCGCGCATCCTCCGGTTCAATCCCCGTTGCCTTCGTTTTCTTTTCTTGATCTCTTTTCCTTCTCTTTCGACCGTGGGCCCCCGTCCGGCGAGCGGTGGATGGACCCCGTGGGGCCCCTCCGATACCGTCAGCGACCGTCCATTTCTGAAGCCCAAAGTTTCTCTGTTGAGTGGAATGGGAAGAAACATGAAAAAAGGGGCGCTCCCATCCTCAGGTAGCCCAGGCTACCTGCCGCCGGGTGCGTTGTGTCTTCTCGTTTCTGTTTGTTTGGATCTGCCTCGTTCGCACATGGCCCCCCTCCCCCCTGGCCCCGGCCCAGTCGCGATCTTGCCCCTCCCTCTTCAGCAACTTTCGAAGTTTGGCGTCCATGGCGATTGTGGTTTGGACAATCTGCGCAGGGACTCGCGTGCCTCGAGGCGATTTGCTGCTGGGATAGCATTTTTTGTCCCTTTTGGACCAATGGATTCAAGGGACTTCTGCTGACACCTCTCCTTACCTCTGCCCCACATTCAAGACACAAATGGCATGCCAAATTTGGGCGCTGCCAAATAAGCCCCCGCAAGCCCCAGTCGCGATCTTACCCCTTGCCTCGTCAACTTCCAATTTTGGCATTCAGGGCGATCGCGGCTTGGACGATCTGCTGCAACACACATGCCTGGACACACATGCTACTTGTGGGGGCAAGAGCTGTCTTTTGTCACTTTTGCAGCAACGAAATCAAAGGACTTCCACACACATCTCCCCTTTCCGCTCGCCCTCATACTGGACACAAGCGGCTGCCCAAATGGCTCTCAAGTACATAGTAGTAGAGTGGCTCTCAAACAAGCACCTGCCTGTTGTTCAAGGCCTCGATGCCAGGCATGTTGGGCCAAGTGTGATGCATTAGTTGCTGTGAGCACACACTGGAGTGCGTTCAGGCTCAGGAGCGACGAAGGCAGTGTTGGATGTGCTTGGGCAAAGTACCAGGGAGCTGTGGTTTGCCCTGGCCCACTGGATTCCAGGACACTTCTAGTTGCAGGAGCCCAAGCCCTTGCCCCTGAAGGATGGCAAATAAGTTTGATAGATCATCGTAAATTGGATGAGGCAACAGAGCCACGAAATGGGTAGGCAAAATCCTATCCCACAATCTGTTCTGACAATCTGATCTGATAGTCTTGTTTGGCTTTGCCGTGCCGCAGTCGACCATTCTACAAAGGAAGCTGCAGAGGGGGGCACCGCGGAACCATACTGTTGTGTCAGTACTTTACGCAGTTTGGCAGTGCCTGCGACTAGTGCTGCAGCACCTCAACTCAGCACCGCTTTGAGGAATGGAGTTCGCCTGCGGAGAGGCGCTGCCGCCCGAGAGGCCGACATTTGGCTTCATGCTGGGCATGCTGCTTCTGGCGGTGCTGGTGTCGAACGTGGAGATCATGAATCTGCCCACCAGGCACTCGGCACTGTGCTTCATAAAGTGCTACAGGCATGGTTAGTGTCCTAGCTGGGGCACGGATTGGTAGGATATATGCCAGTGCTAAGGGTTTGGTCGGTGGGTGGAGAACGCTCTAAAGTACTGCGTGTGGATGGGTGGACGGTGTCCCATGAAGGGATGGCCGGGAGGACAAGGATATGCCGGTTTTGGGACTTTGGTGCTTTTTCTTCTGGGCGTGGAAGTTTGTTGGACCTGTAGACGACCAAGAATCGTTGTGAAGATGTGGGCAAAAGACAATTGGCAATTGTGCTGCTGAAGTGCTGGACTGGCGGTGCTGAACTAGCCGCACAAGACGGGGGGCGAGTGGTACAAAGCCGCTGAAATGGTCTCAGAGGTTGTCTAGTTTGGTTTTCTTGCACGTGTTAGGATGCAGCGCCCCTCACGCCCGGGTGAAAGCGGACTCCCCGGCCACTGGAATAATTGGCTATGGCATCACTAACAGCATGATGGCATCGAGGGGCGCTTTCTGTGGGTGAGCACATCGATGAGATGCGGGGCACCCCGGTTTGGACGCGTGCAATCTGGGCTGTCGCCGGACCTTTCTGGCAGACGTTTGGGTACAGGGGAGGTGGAGTCTAAATAAGGGATAAATAAGGGATTCGTGCTCTTGGAACGTCGTTCAAGAACGGGCTGCGATTTGGCGAATTTTCTTGGGCAAAAGAACTTGGCGATTATTTGGTGAGAATCGCAAGACTCCCGGGCGGGGAGAGTCCCAAACAACATGATGAAGACCGCGCAACCTGGCTCCGTTTGTTGAGCTTTGTTGGAATATTACTTGACGGGATGAATGTGCCAAAGACAAGTCACATCGATCTCCGTCATTTCCCGCCCTTTCCCACCACGAGAGCCGCTTCCCACATCAGTGTTGGGTGTGGCAAACGCAACCACTTGACTAAAGGTGGACGTGTACCTGCTACGTTCATAGTATTCCCGCGAGTCGAGCAATATATAACCCGCAGCCTATTCCCCCCACAACGAGCCCTGATTCATTCATAGCCCCCATCCATGGCTGGATACCAGCACTTTCCGTTGTGACTAAGCGGGCAAAGGATCCATGGGCCCTTCGCGCGTTTCTTCGGCGGCCACACCGCCTCTCACAGAGAGCTGCCAGCCGCCGACGACGGGCCCTGCCCTGCGCCGCGGAGGCCATCACAACAGTAGAGAACGCGGCACCCCGGCAGGGAAGCATTCCGCCATCGCCGCACTGCTAAGTCAGTGTCTTCCCACAAAGCTTGACCACAAATGATTGCGGCGGTCTTCCTGAGGTCAGCGCCAACGGCTGCACGGAGGGTGGAGTCGATTGGGCGCTCGGATGGCTGCCATCGCGCAAGCTGTGGCGATCCCCTCGCGGTAAAATGGACGCCGGCCGGCCAGGAGCATGAGCTACTAGCAATAGGGTATCCCTCTTCCAGGGGCATGGGGTCGATGTTCATGCTATGAACTTCATAGTTTTATAGGTGCTTGGCAGAAGGCCTGAGGTGCGGGGCTTCTGGCCGTCCAACCTGGACCAGGGGTCCAGCGGTGGATCAGTGGGGCCGTCCACGACCTCCTGCAGCTCGGAGGACTGGTGCCGCCCAGTGAATTTGGAAGTCAATCCTGTTTTACGGCACAGGTACCGTTTGTTCTGACCCAGAAAAACAGCACAGCAGGCCGGGTGCAGGGCTCTGCCTCCCTGCCGTGAGCATGGACGCGGTGGTAGTCACATGGGAGCGTTGGAAATGGCCCCACTTCCCACCCCTACCCACCTGAACCCACCTCAACCCAACCCCCGCCCGCTCCACCCACCCAACTATGACAAATTGTGGAATTCCACACTGCTTGGCTTTAACGCCCAGGATGTCGCCTTGGTGGATGTTGCCAAATGACAAGCGTAGTGCTTACCCAGGCCTTGGCACAGAACTTGCATAAGTGTGGTGCAAGCATGTGAGCCAGGTGCCTGGTGCGACAGTTCGTCAGATGCGAAGAGTGGGCATTGCATGACAGCACATTTGTGCGCAAACCATCCAACTCTTTCCAGAGATTAGTTTGGCACCCTATTGGTGCTGTTCAGAACAGTCGGGAAGGCCACTCTGGCAGTCTGTTGCATATGTTGTACACCAGCAACTCACGAGTCGGCAACAGACCCAAGCACAAAAGCAACATTTTGTGAAGGCATGAAGAGGCCGTTGTGCCTCCCAGAGCAACCATGGGAAACAGGAAAGTAGCTGCACTTGTAGAGCTGAAATACAATCAAACACCAACATCTCTTGCAGCACTTGATGCTGGCGTCTGGAGTTCAGGGACGCAATCTTGCAGTATCTTCTCCAACTTCTCCATCACATCGTCCATGGAGGGTCGCTCTCCAGAATCACACTTGAGGCACTGCTCAATGAGTGGCTTCAAACCCTTGTGGCAGTCATCAGGAATAGGGCATGGGAGCTCCTCGTCGTTCTTCATCCTCATCACAGCATGGTTGAGTCCCTCTGCTTCCATGTAAGGCGACCGTTGCGCTGCCAACTCACACATTACCACCCCAAAACTGAACACGTCACTCTTCTGAGTGTGGTGCTTTTGCACGTAGATCTCTGGCGCACAGTACAGGGTGGTCCTTGGCTGTTGCCTCAACGTCGTCGTCAAGTCGGGCTGCTGGGTCGTGGCGATGCCAAAGTCGCAAAGCTTGACTACAGGGTCTCCATCCAAGCCATCTTCAAACACGAGGAAGTTTGCGGATTTGACATCGCAGTGGACCAACTCCTCTGGTTGGCGGTGCACATGGGCCAGCCCACGTGCTGCCTGGTGCATCAACTTGATCCTCGACCAACATGATGCCTTTATGTTGTGTCGATACCAGGTCACCAAATTCCCTTCCGCCAATTCCATCACCATCGTGCACCCGGACTTGGTCATGGCCAGCAAACGGGTAATGTGGTCATGTAGCAGCGAAGCACTGAGAGCAGCCTCTGTGAAAGCGCGCGCCAGCCTTTCAATCTTTGGGCTCCTGCCCTTCTGACTCACGTGTTTTGCAGCCACCATTTTCCCCCCCCACTGTACCCTCCAAACACAGCCTTCCCCACCCATGCCGATTTCCTGTGCTCCAGAATCAAGGTCTATCTCCTCGTCTGCTATCATGGTCACCTTCGCCAGGCTTTCCTTGTGTCTCCTCCTGACCTCGTACCACTCTTCTTCAATCTCCATATCAGTCCACATGACCTGCTCATCAAACAGAACAAATCGAAGGCGGGACTCCAGGAGACTTCTGTCTGCACAAATGTTCGCATCAGGGACAACATGTGCGATGCCCATGGCCATAGATGTGTCCAGCAAGTGAACTGAATCTTGAAGCTTCACACATATTGTCTCCACAGCAGACTTTGCTTCATCGATTGCGTAGAATCTCTGCAAGTCAAACGGGCAAGCATGTCTCCTTATCAGGTTTTCACCCGATTCCAAATCTCTCTTCATCTTAATCCAGGTCTCCATCGGAATGTCACGTGGCAGGTCTGTGAGGGCTTTCAGGCACTCCATCTGCTTCGACAAAAAGTGGAGGATTCCCCTGTTGTAGCGCACATGGCGCCACTGTTGGCTTGCCAAGTCGATGATGGAATGGAGATCTTTGATGATCTGCCACAGCACAAGTGGACACATTTTCACTGCCAGATACAGTTTCTGTTGGGCACTTGGAGTCTCACAACCGACTTGATACAAGCTGTCATATAGAATATTAGCCAAGCAGAAATTCTATGGATGCACTGGACTCTGACGTGAGGATAAATGTCATCACTACCACTGTGAGCGTGCGTGTGTGTGTGTGTGTGTGTGTGTGTGTGTGTGTGTGTGTGTGTGTACACAAACGCAACATACTTTTTACAGTTTGCCATCGTTTCACGGCCTATCATTGCACAAGCCACTATACAACCTAGACTAGTAGAATTCCTCTCACTTCTGCCTGGGGCAACATTGTTGAAACAAGTTGCCACTGCTGTTGACAAATAGCCATCTGCCATGTAGCGCAATTGTTGGATATAATGCATTGTTTCTACACACAGCACATAATGTGCTCATGCTGACCTTTCTTGGCACAACATCTGGCAGCTGGTCCAGCCACATGCACACCACATCCATCTTGGGCCTTTTGGCCAGATCGAGTTGACAACATGCCTGCATCAACTCCACCATTTCCATTGGGCAATCTGTCAGGTGCACTTTGCAGGGCTCCTTTCCATCAAGTTTCTGCTTGGTAATGTATGGTGTTCTCTGAAGCTGATCGGCCTCCCTGATGCCGTACAGCTGTCTGCCTGTGACTACCTCGTACATTACCATCCCTAAGCTATACACATCGGATGCCAAAGTAGGAGCTTTATCTTCGAAAATCTCTGGAGCCATGTACACCAATGTTCCCCTGCGATTCCGCACACTCATGTTCATGGTCCCCGTGACTTCTCTAGTGAGCCCAAAGTCCGCAATCTTTACTTTTGGCTTGGCCCCAAACACCAGAAAATTGGAGGTCTTCACGTCAGAATGTACCAGGGGAGGGGCTTGGCTGTGCATGTATCTCATACACTCCGCGGCTTGTTGTATGAGATTGCGCTTCATAGACCAACTCAGCACTTTGTTGTCCTGACAGAAAGTCTTCAAGTCCTTGTCAGCCAGCTCCATCACCAGCCATCGAGACTTTTTGGTGATCGCATGCAGTTCACCAACATACAAAGACTTTAAAGACAGGTGCCTGAGGACATCTTTCATGAATTCAGCCAATTTCTCAATGTCCCATCCAATCAATTCCAGATGCCGGCAAGCCTTAACAGCAACAGGCAGATTGCGCCACTTGCTCTCATACACAATGCTGCCGGAACCTCTCCCTCTCTCCTTCTTTTCGCTGATCTCATCTTCATCAACTAAGTCCAATTCTTTCATTTGTTCCAGGTGTTCCCGCTTCACATTTTTCCACTCATGAGGCACATCCGTATCTGTGCCCTTCTGGTCCACATCCAATGTGTATGCAAGCAGGTGGGACAAATTCTCACTATCTGCCTCAAGACACTCATCTGGCACTTTTTCTGCAATGTCCACTGTTTCAACATTCGCGCTATCATTCCTGTTCCAGTTCCAGTTGGTCTCCCGCAGCATCTTGCATATCTCATCCACTATTTCCTTCACATCTGTGCTTTTATAGTAAGTCCTAAGATCAAAAGGTTCCTTGTGCTTGCGAATGAGTCTACTCCCCATTTCCAAGGCATGCGTCCACTGCCTCACAGAATCTTCAGGTGCACCCTGGGGTGGCTTAAGTCTCTTGCCCTCTGCTAGCTGCTTTTCTAGAAACTCCATCATCTTGTGATTGTATTTTGGTTGCTGGTATATACCATCAACCAAAATATATTGTGGCTTGTCAGGGACCTGTGCACCCCATCCCAGATCTGACACCATGTGAGATACAGCAACTGTGTGCATTGTTTGGTCATAAGAAATGCGCAACTGAGCTAATTTCAACTGACCAAATTGAACACTATGCTGCTACCAAATTCTTCTGCATTCTGCACATCTCTGGACAAACATACGAGCAAGAGATTGATTGGGACGTATCACATTCCTACCACCATATCCAGCAAAGTACCACATTTGCAACAACTGAAGTGCCACCATTGCATGCACCAACACAACGAATGCTAATGTTCGTCGTTTTCAAGCTCACACATTCTTCGGCACCATTTGTTCTAACTTGACAGTGCTTGTGCCAATTCAAATAGCAAAGTACTCAACTCTTGTCTGGAAAACAGGGGTTGTACCTCAACACGCAAATGCATCATAGCATTTGGAACACAACCACCCCTTGTTTTGGTACACCACTGTGCACCACTGTGCACCTTGGATGATGAGCACCATTCAACAGTGCAGCGGGTGAGCAACCAATCAGCAACTGCAACAGCTATCACAGCAGTGTTGAAGGCTATCAGTTGTCCACAAAGCCACTGCTTCCCTACATCGTACTTGATGCCTGAGCTTGACAACTGTTGCTGTGTTTACAATCAGCATGATTGATCTCAGTTTGCTACAATCGTCACAATGCAGGGACCAAGCCATCACTGCTAATGAAAAACCAGTCAGCCTGTCTTATTCGGTATGGCTGGCACATCTATGCATATAATGTGGTGTTCAGATTGAGGCGAATACCTAATCATCCTGTTGGTACTTTTGTTTGTCAGAATACGGGAAGTGGCAAAACGAAGACAGTCCAGCCTCCATCCCGTGCACATATTCAATTGCACAGTACGTCCAATATTCGTGCCTGGTCTGGGCCCATAAACAGACAATCTGCCATCATATTGCCAGATTTGGCTTTGGTGCAAGCCTTGTGGACAAGACACCCAGCACAGTTAAGGTACAGCAACAGCAGCTGGGAAGACTAGTGTGCACGTTCACAGCTATGACAACTGTGGTGCTCTCTTCGCTTCAACAACAAACAGCACAAGGTCATCAATGCAGTGCAATGGCTACAGAAAAGACACAGTGACGTCCCTGAGGCACCTGCCGAATTTATGAACGTAGGTGTGACTTACATTGCCATGGCTCTGGTGCTGATGCTGCGCTGCGTGCATAAGCCTGCAGGAAATGATACTCCACATTGTCGCCATGCCAGTTATCACCACCAATAGTAACATGCACAACACTGCAGCCAACGGAAGCCTTTCCTGTTGAGCAAACACAAAATGTACACGTCAGGCAAGTTGATCATCAAGCAGCAGGCAATCGTCACCACGGTCCCAAGGTCGTGCCATTGAAATGCTTGCCACAAATCCTGGTTTGGCACAATTCAGTGATAACCAGCTGGTAGTCGCCTTGGAAAGGGATGGTGGATGATTAGGAAGTGTCACAACAGGCTGTAAAGTGGATATCACTCGGCCTTATATTTTCTGGTGCAGTAGCACAAGGCCCATGTCTTTTTCGCTATGATTGATGGCCCTGGGCTCTCTAATGATGTGTATAACAGCGATTAGGAACAGTAGGGGAAAACGAGCCTATGCCTTTCCAGGTCATTTCTGAGGCCTTGGCAGCCAATTGCTGGCCATGCATTTTCCCTGCATTCCAAAATTTTTAACCCTCAACGCCCTAAAATATGCTCCCCACAAAAATAACTCAAAACCAAGTTGTAGGCACCAGAATGGCTGAAAGCAACAAACGTGGTGATTTGGAGCTGAAAGGGCTGGAAATACACAAATAAGTAGCTACCAAACTGCAACGTCAGGAAATACACAACCTAGAAGGTCTTGGAACGTGGCTTGCCACAGCTGAGGCACTTGTTTCCGGTGACAAGGGAACTGGAGAACTCGCAGTTTCACCTGGTATCAAGGGTTTCATAACTCACACTCTCAGGATACATCACTGCAGCACATACAGGCATCGTGTGAAGGCACAAGTATGTTGCTGATACTTCATCACCAGCACAATTCCCTAAATACTCCACATTACCAGTTCACATCAGCTCGTGCATGCACTGTCCTGGGGACAAAAATCCTTGTAAAAGGGGGCATCATGCATCCCCAGCCTACAGCAGCAATAAACAAAACAAGACAACCACCTTCCTCCACAACAAATTCGCCATTACAGCAATGCAAGCTGAATCTGTGCCAGTGTCAAAATTGACAAAGCTTGGAGCCAAGTTGGAGATTGTTGGTTGCTTTTGTCACCTCGTTGATCCACTCAACCATTTTCATCACTCTGACAGCCCCTGTGGCATCGACACCGAAGTAGTAGGTGCTGAAGATCACCTCAACGGCGATCAAGTCAAACTGTGGAAAACCTCTGTGGACAGGGTCCGACAGAGAAGTATCAGGACCGGGGACACATTCCGTATGCACCCACAGAAATTCCGCGCTGCCTGTTCACAGCAAATGCACACTAAACAAAGTCAAGTCTTTATCTTTCAAAACAAAAACAATCGTTTCGCATGCACTTGAGGAGAGTGTGTCTGAAGGCTTGCCTGCATCAATGCACCCCAACTCTCAATGGAGCGACTTTCTCATTGCCAATCTAACAGTGCACATGGCAACTGCAAACAGAGCACATGCTCCAGCTGTCCAGCAACCCACAACAGCAGCTACAAAGAGGAATGAGGCAGTGGCGAAATGTTCCATAGACACATTAAATTCATGGCTTCGGTTTGAAGTTTAACCAAATGGTATTATGCAAGATGATATGGGGCTGACCTTAATACCAACCTTGCTAACATTTCTTCTGTGTGTTCTGCATTTCAAAACGACCAAAGCCTCATCCACTGACATCATCGCTCAGTAATGATGGGCGCTGGCTCAGCACAATCACACAACAAAAGAAGTGACATCCTGGCAAACGCAGTTTCCAGGGGCAGATCAAATTTGAGGCTCAACACTGCCCTGGGAATTGAGATGCTGATGGGAGGCGGTGGGACATCACACAAAACATGCATCCACAGAACATGATCTTGAATGCACAGATCTGCCCTGCCCACCTTGCTGCATGAGGGTATTGGCAATTTGGAATCTAGCTGCCTGGATGGCCCTCCTCCTCGTGTGTGGATGAGGAGGTGCCAGACGGAAACCTATGAGGCTTTGGGCAATGTAGATATCATGCGTAGGATGTGCAGTCATTGGGGGCTCTTCCTTGACCAGGCCCACCCAAGACGGGAGCTTCAACAGCACAGTATCAACTCCCAAAGTCGGATCTGTGTTCCCTTTTGCTGGATGTTCAGGATGCTCGATATTATACTCAGCATGGCATATCTGTCAGGACACAACAGCACACACTTTGTCAGCTGCACGATCAAAACTAGAATCACACCATTTGAAAAGGATTAATCATGATTGAAAACAGAAGTTTGGCAACAGCAACAATAGAATGGATGCCAATGTACAAAATATGCAGGAAGTCTGGGATGCGGGGCAGAATGTGGGAAGTTGCTGAGGCTTCACCTCAATTATGTTCTTCAGTTTCAAGCTTCTTTTCATTGTGAAACGGAGACAACAGTATCAATTCTGGGTTTTGCCATACGTGCATTTGCAGGGCACCTGCTGGTGGTTACTAATGACTGCTTCAGGAAACAAAGCCCTGTTCGTGACCAGTGAAACTGTTGTTGGCACTGCATCTGGCCATTATGCGTGCCAACAAAATGATGCAAGAACACTTTGTCCTGCCTTGGGAGATGTTGCCACCAACAATCATCAGCAACAAAACACACCTAAGGGAGAATCATATTGCACATCACCCTGCTGCCTTGCACATTTTCTGCTAGCAACTCTGCACATTCACCCAGAAGAATATGTGTACCAGGACCAAGGGCTGGAGCCACTCTGCTGTTGAGATTGACATATGCCCAATTTCATTGACCACACGCTTATCACAACATGACATTGGCAAGCCCTTCTACGAAGCCACGAATTTCGGGCGCCTCACATGTATAGATGGCACATTCCACAGACTTTCATTTACGGTGGTCTCCCTGTCAAGGTGTAAGCACTCATACAAAATGAATCCCATTCACCATGCCATGCAGCAAGTGCATTGTTGTGGTGGGAGGTCCCAAACAAAGCACTAAGGGACTGCCATTGTGAGGTTTTAGAGAGGCATCTTAATTTCTTGGAGTTCACACTGTCAAAGTAGGATACCGGATAGGAAGACTTGACTGACAGGACATTTCTGAAGCTTACCTCAAATCTTGCCAATGCAGTATCATGTGATTGTGCACATTGAAGCAATCACAAAGCTAAGCCAAGCTTTGCAAAAAAAACTATCTCGTCACCACCCCATTGACAGCATGAAGCTAAACAACACTGTTGTCTAGCTTGCAAATCATATGTGACTTTGGCACAGCCGAGCACCTGTGTTGCCATCACATTGCCCTTTTCGTCTATGCCAGTGAAACCTAATGCCACTTTTGGATTGGGTCCAATTTGCATGATGCAGTGGTGTGTTGACACTAAAAATCCTGGTCGTAGATACGTAGCTCCACAGACAAATTCCCCTTCATCGCTGAGCAAGGCTGCCAGGTAGCTGTGTCGACCAGCCTCCACATCTTGCCACTGCATAACAGGGAAAGTGGCTTTAGGTTAAGATCATTTGCTTCAGATATTAGCAGGTAGCTGGGGTGGCCTGCAGGGTCTCATTATGACATGCACATGGATTCAGGAGTGATGTGGCTTCATGCAAGCTCAGGCAAGCACACAGGAATAGTTGATTATCATGCTCACTATCATATTTGCGACGTTGCACTTGTGCACTTTCGTCCTTTGGTGGAAGCAGCACCCAAGGTGAAGGGAACAGGCCTTCAAAATTGTAGCACGAGTCAGACCCTGGCGGGCTTCCCTGTCCTTGTCTTCATCACCAAACGTCACCTAATGACTATTCACTATGGTGCATGTTTTGCATCCATTCTCAAGAAGTCGCAATTGCTGGATACTCTTAATTTCCGGACATGAAGCCATGAAGGTCATTATAGGGTCTAGATTTTAGGCTATTTTAGGTTATTTTAAGTTTTGGGTCTTCATGGCCACCATCCAACCAGCCTGGCGGGAAGCAAAATCCTGTCACTGTCAGAAGGGCAACAACTCCCTTTGCAGCGAAGCTGTGTACAATGTGCTGCCGTGCATTAACACAGTGTGTCCACAGCATCTATTCAGCATTCGTATGGAGAGCATGCTTGCAGAGGCACTGCACGCATGCAGTGGCTTCAGAACATTAATGCAGCGTTTGTGCAGCCTCTGTGCAAAGTCCACAGAGCATTGGCATCTCATTGCACAATCGACAGAGCCAACTTCTACACGCAATGCCAAGTGCTCTTGGAAACGTGGCAAAAGCAAGCCCAGCAGGTGCCACAGAAAATGAACTGCACATTCCAAGCAGGTATCTGCATAGGCAAACCTTACCTGCTGTCTCTTGGCCTGTGTTGATTCATTCCCCCGCAAATCTACAAAGAAACACACACACACACACACACACATGCACACAAAGTGCCGATTGAATGCGACCTTCAAACTCGTTGCAAGTCTGCAACACAGAGTGTGCCCATATCTAGTGATCAGCTGAAACAGAAAGTTATCGGCATGGGCTGCAGACAATTAAAACAAAGACAAGCAAATCCCAGACGAAAGACATAGCACTGATCGGACACGACGTCCGGCCGATCGCCAGCCCCACTCAAGGCCCCCACACACTGCCCCGCGCCTGAGTGCATTTTGATCGCCTTCAGCGTCCCAGCACAATTCCCCATGACAAAGTCCTTGGTTTCCTGCCCATCCCCTCACCTGTGCAGATGGGGCAAGTTGCTAGCCTGTCGCTATTTCTCCTGGCTTTGGGATGGCCCAGAATCACAAACGCCCATGCACAGTGCTTTATGCAGTACTGTAGTTGAGTCACACCATATATAATTCCTATAAAGGGCAGGGTTAAATTACTCTTCTGCTCTGCCCTTCAGACTCCTTCTGTGTCTGGACATACATATGCACATAGAAACTGACTAAATTGAGGTAAATATCCCATCAACACAGAAATTTACTGAGACAGGCAAGGCTACTAAATCGGAGCGTTGTTATTCACTGCTGCTGAAACTTGTTTGCACCACTAATCAGTAGTGCACCATCGTGATCACCAGTAGAAAACAGCCTGTTTGCGATGCCAACTGCGATGCCATTTGACACAAATTGATGCCATCACAGCCCTTTTTATGCCAAAGCAATCACTGTGACGGCACCACTTTGTGTCAAAATGGCATCGCATCTGGCATCGTAAACATGACATTTTCTGCTAGTGGATCGTGGGCAACAATCCTGATCACCAGAATGCTCTGTGTTGTTGCCGAGCTGGTTGCACCTGCACACACATTACTCTGACCGCAGCAAGAAACGGTGGCATCATTCACTGGAGAATGTGGAGGGAATGTGTCCGTGAAGGGAACAATCTTTTTGAGGCGAACGGGTTCATGAAATTGGAAACTGACAGATTCAGACCATGGCGGGTACATGTCTGGACACGGGTTTGTGGCAGCGCCTGTCAAACGGAACTGAGTGGCACTGCAGGTTACCTCGCAGGATGTTTTGGATCGCCTGCACCACATTCACCCAGGACCTGCCTGTCAAACTCCCTGTCTGCAGCCCCAACAGCACTGCCACCACTGCCACTGCCACTGCTGAGATGCACACGATCCTTCGCCATGGCGAATTGCCTGCCTCTCGGCCTGCCTGCATGGACAGGCCAAAAGTCCCCTGACCTCAACACAGCTCACGATGGGACATGGAGCACAATGCAAATCCTGGTTGACATACGAACGACAGAGTGTTGCCTGTTCAACACGCTTGTGGACAAAGTGCCCACAGGCCAAGGGTGAATATGGACATGGCAGTATTCAATGAGAAGTCAAGCACTGACACACACATTTCCGCATGGAATGGACAAGTCGCAGTCAAAGAAAGAAAGCCACAGGCATCGATCTGTCTAATACATTTACAATTACATTGCACAATCCTAAGCAGCCTCTGACAAGCCTGTAAAAGCAGAAATCGACAAGATCCACGAAAGCATCAAGAATTATGTTACATTATCTGTGCCAGCATTTCCATAAGCCACAAACAGTTCTGAAACAACAGGTTGCATGCAGCACTGCCTTCGGCACAAGTTCAAAGACAGAATGTCCTCAACAATATATTTGACGCACTTGACATAGCAACCGAAACCGTCTGGATTAGGGTCAGAGGCAGCCCAGCTAGACGCCGCTCTCTCCCAAACATCTCTTGGTTGGAGGTTCCAGAGTGGGAAGTGGGGAAGCAGGGGTGAGCAGCGCTTTGCATAATTGACTACCGTATGCTCGATGACGCTCTTCGTCAGGGCAAGAAACCTGAAGATGACATCTTGTCGCCTACAAACAAAGGTAGCCGCCGCACCTGGGACGCTTGACCACGCGCGGGTTGCTCCTCTTCCTCCATCACACCCTGCGCCAATTTGTGGCTGCCACAGGATGGCGAGGCGCAACTTCAGGTACCTTCCACAGCCGGGACGAAGACCTAGCAAAATGCTAGCACTGGTGGCCCTCTGCACGAGACGCAAGCATCTGCACAGATCCGCCCCCAGCACTTCAGTTCAGCAACAAGATCAGTTGTCTGTTCCCTGTGTGCTCGTTCTGCTGTCGTCGGTGCATCACGATCGAGCTTTCTGCTGGAGATGCCGCCACGCGTATCAGTCCTGCTGGGATCGACGGCCAAGGGAAATGCTTCTCTTTCCGGACAGAACCACGGGGTGCGAGAGCCTCAGCGACGGGCCGCGCCCGATGCGGGTCTCCCAACGCCACAACCCACAGTTCAAGAGGTGCCAGGCCTGAAAGCGGGGCAGCAGTTCCGATCGAAACGAGCACCACGCAAGGGCATCGCCATTTTCCTATGCGTGGCCAATCCACACCGACAGTGAAGACGCTGTGCATCATGGGGAGCGGATTGCACTTAAACCTAAGGCGCAACGTCTTCATTGTCGCACACCATCGCACCCTGTAAGCTCTCTCCGCGCGTCCCGAAGGGCAACGCAACCATCCTCACCTGAGGCAAGGTTCCCCTTCCACGCTCCCCGAGACGGTCGCCTGTCGTCGACAGTGGTTTCCGGACCTTGAGGCACGAGGGGCAGTTTTCGGCGGACCGTCCAGCCAGTACCCAGGACCCAGTATCCAGCAAGTGGTTGACCCGCCTGGAACTCGCGCCCAACTCCGCAAGGAACTCCGGAAGCAGCGATTCTTGCCAGATGTACCGGACTTTCGGACTTCGCAGCATCAAACATCGGGTACAGAGCTGTGTGAGACAGTGAAGCTGTGCGAGAAACCCGGACTTTAGGGACCGGAAGCCGAAAGCTCGACTCCTTTCGGATGGTGCCTTTGTGGCAGGCACCGGCGCAGTTGTGCCGCGCCGAGACTGGTCGCAATCAAGGCTTCCAAATCCTCCTGTTCCCGATGCAATTTCCAAGTCTGTCTGACGATCCCTCCGGATCGCTGACATCGAAAGTAGTCTTGATCCTCGAGCGGGGCGGCGCCTCTTCATCCGAGTGGGAACGCAAATGTCCTGTACCCATCATTTTCGGACATGAAGGTCATTGAGGTCGTTTTGGTGTAGGTTTTTGGGCGTTTTAGTTTCGTATAGGGTTTATACGTACTATATTTATATGTTTATTCTTATTTTTATACTCATTTATGTTTATACGTTTATTTGTATGGGGTCGTGGTACGTGTTGGTGCCGAGATGTAGAGGGTGATCGTGGTTCTGATGGAGTGGTTGTGGGGAAACGGGTTCCGGCGAGGGCAATGGGAAGTGAACACATTGTGGGCTCGAGACAGGCACGCCATGCTGGAGTCAAACTGGACAGGAATAGCAATCTGCCAGAGAGCACATACGTGGTGCTACTGCGTAAGGAAAACATCTCATTACGGATTCGAAGGCCGACTCCCCTGTATCGCCATGAGGGCGATCAGTCCACGTAAGGGCACACCACTGTGATGGTGACCACCCCCGTTAGGCCCACACCAGAGCATCAAATGGACAATTTCCAGTCATTTGGAAGCGGTTGAGCCAGAACTCAGAGCGGATCATTGCCACCTCAACGACATACAAATTCGGTCAACCAGTATCTGTGTCCAATCCATGTTGTATCTCATGCAAACGGTTCATCGCCTCACTCGCAGCGTCTGGAATGCCCCCACGGCACACAACAAACCCTGGCCCAGTGATACCGGCTTGATGGCCACATTGGTGTTCATCGCCGTCCGCCATGACAATGCCGCAGTACAGGCACGTACTTCGTTCCGCTGTGATTCAATCACTAGGAGGCCGAACCTCCTGCGACATCAGACACTTTCCTCGTTGCAAGGGGCTGCGACATAGCAGCCCAGTGCCCATGGCGCCGGTGGGGGATTTGGCAGCCCAGCCGACGCCCTTTGGATAAATCTTGCCGACGCTGCTGGCGTTTCACCACCCTTCCAGCCCCTTGTGTGGCGTTGCAAGAGCTTAGGTCTTTTCTTAGTTTAGTGAAGTAAATCGCTACATTTTTGTGGAGTTTTGGGCGTCTCTATTGGCTTGTCGCTTCATACATAGTGTTCACAACGTCATAAGCGCCTTTAAGGCTAAGTTAGCGTACAGATCACATATCTTGGGATGCAGGTCACGGCCGCTAATTTGCCAGATTAATAGATTTTACTATAATTCTTCTCAAATTCGTCTAAGAATGTGCGCATTTAAAATTTTGCCCAAATGCGAGTAGTACTGCATATTTGAGAAGACCCAGCTGCACTTCTCTAATGTCGATCACAGTTGCATCTTTCTTTCATCAAAATCCGTTGATTACATTTGCCATGAAAGGACAAAACACAGCCCTTGCACCTGATAATCGATGATGGGCGTGAGAACCTAACGAAGTGTTTGTTCAGAAGCACTTTTTCATTATCCCATGGCCACACAATTCCAGACCCCCAATTCGTCTGCAATCCCCGTGTCGCATGAAATGCAATAAATTAGTGGGAATAATAAAATCTCCATGGAGTGTGTTCTGAAAATGCAAACGAGAAATATCAGTCCCAACCCTCAATCCCCATGACCCGCACGAGCCCGCGAGCGCACACATGCATCAGAAAGTGCACTAGGGTCCCAAGGCCCCGTGGCGCCAGTTCACAAAATTGTTGCATGGACTATATGCCGCGCGGATTCATGGCATGTGAAACGGGCACTAGAAAACCCGGACAATCCAAGAAAACGCGAACTCGGTCTTCCCGCCCAAAACCATGCAAGAGGCAAGCTGGTGAGTCAACAAGCAGGCAGCGAAAGGGAAAAAGGCGGCATGGAAACACATTGGCCAGAAATTGACACAGCAAAGCGAGTTCTTTGAAAAAGGCCTCGCCCAATCGAGGGAAGGCGTGGACGTCCAATTCACAGCCAGGTCGTTGCGCAATGCAGTTGTCCTCTACCAATCGTGACTTGTCAGCGTGTTGCAGTACTTGGTCACGCGCAGCTTTCGCTGGCCGAGTGATGGCCTGGGCGCAGTGGGCCATGCTCGCAGCTTCCGCGCCTTGCACAATGTCCACCCTGTCGCTTGCCGCAGTCGCCAAGCCATCGGCGGCCGCGTTGTTCCACCACGTCGGCGTGGCCAGGCACCCACTGCAACCGGACGCGGCACCCTGCCTCAATGATCTCCAGGATGAGGCGCCGTACCTCCACCGCCGTCGCCGTGCGACTCCTCCCGCCAACCAGGGCAATTATACGATACGACGGTATCGATTTGCGCCTGTGTTAGAGATAAATTAAAAATCAGCCTGCGAACAATCTCCAAAGCGTGCAGATTTCTTTTCATCGAGATTGCAGATTTTTCTTTCAGAAAGTTTGTGCTTCGCCTCTGATCAATTTTGAAATGAATTGCAGCAAAGGTGAAAATGCTACAAATAGCAAAAGTTCACGATGATAATACAAAACAAATGCCGGTATGCCAAGAAAGTGCAGAATTCCTCAAGAATGGACATACTCATAGTCATAGACTACGTAGCCTATGTATACAGCGCACACAGCAGCGCATATTACAACACACAGGGGGGGTGCACAGATGGCGGCGTGCTGTAGATGGCGGCGTGCTGTAGATGGCGGCGTGCTGTGGATGGCAGCTTTGGAAATATGTGTGAGCGTTGTTCCTTCGGTCAAGTTGGTTGCAGCATAGTTTACTACAAGTCTTGATATTGTACCAATTTTGCTCCAAACGGTGCCATCTGAAAATCGTTCAAACACAGTATGCAATTGAATATAATACACAACAGGTGGGATTATCATTGATGAGCGCCCAACGTCGCAGGTACTGTGCTCATTGTATATACAATGAAAATGGGGAAATGAAAACATATTTTCAGCTCATGTATGTGCCTGTACAGAGTTATGCCATATTTGGGAAACCTTCTGCCAATAGATGAAATGGCTGATGAAGCACAGAATACATAACATTTTCCCCTCGAATATGATGTTAAAGGCCCTGAAACATTCTTAGTCACGTTTGGTAGCGAATCCGTAAAACACGCGTTGAGGCATTGGGAATCACAGCGCATTTGAAATT